TATATATATATATATATTAAAAACCCTAGGGTGAAAAGAAGTGAAAAAGAGTGGGTGAGGGAGATGACCTAGTGCTTGCCTATGTCAAGCATTGTGAGGTGCCTACACCTCCACCCGCTCAGTCAGACAATCGTGAAAGAAACTGACAGCACGAACGCCACTGACATCGAATACCCCAAACTCTTCATGATCTGTTTGACGCCCTTCTGCCAAGTCATGTGCTGTCAACTTCGCGGTATGCGCCATCCTGAAGGAGCACGGAGAACCAGCACGAACGCCACTGACATCGAATAGCCCAAACTCTTCATGATCTGTTTGACGCCCTTCTGCCAAGTCATGTGCTGTCCACTTCGCGGTATGCGCCATCCTGAAGGAGGCACGGAGAACAACACTCGTCTCGCTGGACGGTGTTTTGGCATGCGTAGCACACGACCAAGCCATCGTAGTCGATGATGCTGGATGTTTTCTCGGATAGGGGTACCTGCAACACAACCAAATACCCGTTTTCTAATCACTTCGTTGCTAACACGCCGAGGCCATCCATAACCAACCACGCTTCTGAAGTATCGGTGGTCAAAAACGTGAAGACGCTTCACATCATCTGTCCACAGAGGTCATCACTTCAGAAAAGGATCATGGAAAATATCTTTGGATTAAGTTAGGAGGCAACGAGGTGACTTCCACGAAGAAGCGGAACCTCCGCCATTTTGAAATAACTAGAAGAAATCCACACAAGAATGCAAAGGCAGCGAAACTATTTTTGAATTAGTATCCTTGGTTGTAAGCTGTTTGTTAATCATTAACTTGAGATGTTGATGAAAAAACCCTGCCAACTTGCTAAACTTTTCTTACCTTTTCTTACTTTTCAACTATCCTTTCATCCGAGGATGGAGAGACGCATTTTCTGCAGGACACTATCACTTCTGGGTACCGATAGTTGGACCTTACCTGGGTGCATTGCTCGGTGCACTTGGATATGAGCTCACAATCGGAGTACATATTGGCACACCAGACAAGGAAACAGAACAAAACAACGAAAACAATCAACTCAAATCAATATCGGCATGACGATCAACATGTCAAGAAGTTGACAGTAGAGACACTCTACTTCCGAACATAAGAGAAACGCAGAAGACTGCGGCCTACGCAGACAGTACTTGTACTGGTTTCGAATGCGTTTCACCTTTGTGTTGTGACAGTATTTCTCTTTTTGCTGTTCCTATGGGTTATGGGGTTCGCTCTGTGTCATCGGGATGCTAAAACGGAGGAAATTACTCGGTCGAATTAGATCTTGTTACAACCGACTCCGAGGCAAATTAAAAGCGTAGGCTTGCACGCAAAACAAGTTCAAATAGAAGGAAGACGAGAATTCTGTATTGATTGGGTGTATGTGTTAATGCAAGCCGGAGAACAACCGTCAGATTAATTTAACGATGGATTCCGTTGTCACCTTTTTAAAGGAAAAGGTTTAAACGCGTGTCTTTTGACTAAATTTTCTGCCTTTGCGTCACAGTTTTCTTCAACGGTAAAACATTTTCACTGGTTGGTAAACATCGCTCAGCCGAAGCCGAATGAACCAATCAATTCAGCGTATCGATCAATGACGCTGCATAACGATTGTAGCCGCTAGATTCTCGTCCTCCGGTGGAGGATACACTAGATGCGTAAATATAGGGGTGCAGTGAACTTTTCATCTGGGGGATTGGGATTGAAGGCGCCATTGAGGGCGCGACTGGGCCATGTCAGACAATGTCTCTAACCATTGATATGGCCCGTCTCGGGGTCCCCGTATGGGAAGATGGCAATGACTAGGGCAGCTGAGTTTGTAGGCAATGGCCCTCGTACTTCGCTGTTAAGTTACTGCTTCACCTTCCCCGGATCGTTTCCACCCTTCACTTAGTTGTACTCTAAAAGAAATTCGGTCGACTGGCGTGCGGAACAGGTGAACTTTACCTCCATAGCTAAAAGGCACTGGCGAATTTATCCCTCCGGGAGTGAAGGTCACTTCCTTTGATCACTCAAGTCGTCGAAAAAATAGGACAAAAATTCCTACTGCGAGCTGTAATATCCTTGAAAGTGGACCGAAACGCACCGGCCAGTTCTGTCCAAAAAAACCGACATGCGTGAGGCTACAGAAGAACCTCACACATCAGTAGGAAAACCAACCAGTTATTAGAAGGGGCATATTCATCTACTGTAACGACCTGTCCAGTCACGAACACGTGACACGTGTTGATTTAATAATCCACGGACGAATCAGTTCAAACCATGCGTGACCTTAACCGTGGTCAGGCGCAACTTGGGACACCAACACCTCCCTTTTTTTAACTCAACTGAGCAGCAATTCGGTCAGGCTAGTTTTACCGGTTCCATATGTTTCGAGGAAAGGTTAACCAGCTGGACTGGGGACAAATCAAATAATTAACCGGCTCATTCAACTAGTTGCCCATAACTCTACACCCAAACAGGTCCAATCAACTTAGGAGGTGTCCGACGGTAGGCAGATAGACAGCGGACAGGTTCTGCCGGATGCCGTTAAAAAGGCGTTGGCAGATTCTGCTAACAGTGCATGTCGATGGAGAATCGATGTAGACAAACTGGGCAAATTTTTCTGAACAGATGTTGGCTGTAACAAATGAGATCCCAAGGTTTTTAACAACACTTGGAAAGGCAGAAACGTTACGAGAGATGGAACAGCTTTAGGAATTACCGTTTTACTGGTTGGTTCTGACATATTCGTTTTGTGAACTCGACCTGAGTATAGTTCGACCAATTTCTGTTGCATCTAACTTCTGTCTCCAGTCCAGTGCCTTAGAATGGGAAAACACACTCGCCAACGAGGACCACGACAAATTCACTGCAAACAAGCGAGTGAAAAAGTTAGGGGAAG